TATCCCCATTAATAACCCTGCCTGAAGGATCAGAAACAAATTCTAAGCCTCGGCCTGTGAATATGTGTCCCAAAGGGTCCAAGGACCCAAATAATAGGGTTTTAGGGCCCAAATACCATAATGTTAATGGTATTTGGGCCCCAAAGCCCTATTATTTGGGTCCTTGGACCCTTAAGGGCTTATGGGGAGATACTAGGAGTTTAGACTACAGCTCATTTGGCTCCTTTTATACCAAGCAGAAGGGTTTATAGGGTCTGGCTTGGTGAGGTGCCATCTTAGTCTAGTGGAGTGGTAGGGTTTAAGTTTAAGGTTCAGGGTTTAGGGTTCAGGGTGTGCGGAGCCTAGACTGTATATGTGTTGCGCATACCCCTTGATGCCTCTAAATGATCCCCATTATTCACCCTCAAGGGCGTTTGATGTTAGGTGTAAACCGCTGAGGTTGTCTACAACCCTGCAGCGCCAAAATCCTGAACCCTGAAACCCTAAACTCCAAACCATGAATTCTATAGTTCCTTTTAAGTGGATAGAATATGGCTTTGGGTATATTATAATAAGACCCTCATATACCTCATATTCTATCTACTTGAGGGGGACTAGAACCCAATATATACCCTATTCTTTTACCGTAGTTTCCATTTTCTTTTCCATCATCCCTATATAGCCCCAATAATATACCCCAGATTTTAAATAGACATTCAACCCTAAACCCTAAACCCAGGGACTAAGCCCTGTCATGTCCTGAGGTACCCTTGCCGTTCAGGCAGTGGTCCGCCTGCGCACGCAGATACGGTCTCCCAGTCCTACGCCCGAGCGCCGGAGGAGCAGTTCCCCAACAGCATTCAGGGCTGAGGGCTAAGGACTAAGGATTTCCGGTTGAGCATTTATGCTGCGGCACATGTTTATGTAGGGCCTATTCTTCAATCAGTCATCTTGAAGCTTATCCCAACTGAATGCTGCATGCTGCGGACTAGTGTCTTTCAACACAATGTGGGGGGGGGGGGGGGGGNNGTGAGCGATACTGCCTCAAACTTAGAGCAAATACGGTAAACGAGCCGCGAAGACTTCGAAGAGCCTCTTCTCTCTGTTTCTTTCGGGCTTTGCATGCCACAAGCTGGCCCTTATTTCGAGCATGTTTGTGGAGCACAACTCCCTGCTGTAGATCCCAGCAGTCCAGCACAGAGATGACCATCAGGCATTCGTGCTCCGCCCGTGCGCATTCTGTACCAACCAGACACACCCCCGCCGCCGGAGAGCTACTTGCCTGATTGTTTCGAGTCTGAGGGTTTATAACATGGCAAGACGGTTTCTGATAGCTCGAACTCTTATGACAAGGATCATATCATAGGGTTGGGGGGGCTTGAGGTTACCCAAACCATTTTCTTTGTGTCGGAGTTTGTTCATGTTTGTCCCTGATTTGACAGCCCTCTGGGCCACAGCGTGGGGATCTCGGAAGCGCTGCCTGTAGCTGCAAAACTTCTCACATAATAGTAATAATAGGAATATATCAGTAATGATTGTAATAATGGTAAGAACCTCAATATGAAACATAATAATAGCAATAATAGGAATACCAGAAATCATCGCAACAAAGTGATTATAGGAGAGACGCAGTAGTAGGGATCCCCAGGAATTGTCTTCAAAGGAAGTTTGCTTACGGGAGGTACTCCCCATTGTCTGACAATCCCCGTATGGTAGTTTCCCAACTGGGGAGACCCTATCATAGACCCCAAAACACCCTCAAAAAGGTACCCCTTACTTTGGGA